GCCAGGACGGACAGGGACAGGGAGGCAGTCCCCGCATAGCCGGTTATGCCCTCGGTCCATGGGGGCTTGGAGAAACTGGAAGTGCCATCTTATAAGCCAGCATGCCGGTTAATTGAGCACACCAGTTTGTAAGATGCCGGATAACAGAACTTTTATTGTATTTGCATTTAAAGAGCATTACAGACAGACAGACACACACACAGACAGATGGAATAAGCCCTTTATATATAGTATTATACAAAATATTGAATTAATAGTAGTAATATAATCATAGCTCTTCTTCTTGAAGTTATTTGTGCCTTCTGGGTCCTGGGACATTATTGTTCCCACAGGTCATATTTTCAAATTTTGCTGGGCAAACACAAGGCCTAGAAACTCACTTTTCTTTCCAAGACAGTGGGGTGTCTTACAGAGCTAGAAACCCTGCAAAGGAACAGATGAAAGGGGTGAGTGGCAAGATTCTGCAGCTGCAGCAACAGGTTGCGGGGTTCAAATGCTAAAGCCAAGATTTTTTAGATGTTTGGTGTTTGAGATCTGACATTATGTGGCACTCAAGCATTTTCACAGCACTTTCTTATAGAGAAATGGCACCAAACTGAACATAAGGCTTTGTGAGCTCTGACAAGAGGCCCTAAGGCTTGTTTCCTGCGCTATATCTCCACCGTGAACCACCACCTTTTAAAAGTGTTCATGAAGAACCTGCTCTGAAGCCAATGCAAAGTTTTCCCATTAAGATCAGTGGCTTCTAGATTAGGCCTGTGTTTTGTAAGCCTCAGTTTTGAGGCTCCCAGCTTGAACTGTCCTTGCAGAGGTGATGAGCACCCTCATCTCCCAGCAACTTACTACTGTAAAGGGAGCAGTATTGCCTATTGTCTAGAGCACCAAACTTGGACTTGATCTGGGAGGGAATTACTTGATTCTAGTCCTGGTTCAGCCACTGGCCTGCTGGATGACCTTGGATGAGTCACTTCCATGTGCTATGCCTCAGTTTTCTCATCTTTAAAATGGGATAAAGACAATGAACACCTGTATAAGGAGTCATGTGATTTACTAATGAAAAGTGCTACGTAGGAGCATGGTGTTATCAAATGGCAAACATCCAAACAACAAAATCATTAAAGACATGTCATGGAAAATATCGATGATGAAGAATTAAGTGCTGTATCTGTTGAAGCATTCTCTTTCGAGCTTGTGTCTGTGCATTTTTGAACTGTGGTCACAGAGCACAGCGCTAACAGTCAATTTGTCAACTGAAACCATACAATTTATAACAATCTTACATAAAGGAAGGTCAGGAAACATCTTGAGATGATAGTAAGGGAAAGAAAGGAAAGGTCCAAGAGGAAGAAATGAGCAGGAAAGTAAAGAAGAGCAGTTATTCACAGATGCACAAAAGTTTACGGCTGGAAGGGACCTCATGAGATCATCGGATCCAGCCCCCCCGCTCTGGGCAGAAAAGACTGCTGGGGTCAAATAATCCCAGCAAAAACAGGGCGCTGCTTTTACGTCTGCATTTAGTACATGTTGCCCCATTGATTATTGGTTTATAAAGTTTTGGTAATGCTTTTATCTACAGGCTCTGAGCTGCTAAACAATTTTGGATTTTGCCCTGAGGAACCGTACTAAATGTGTATGTGGATAGACAAAGATATACTTTATGGTGTTAGAAGGCATTGTGTTAAATCAAACTAACGTGACATTCGCTTAGTTTTTCAGATGATGTCCTAGGTCACTTGAAATGTCTGGGTTTCTCATTTCATTTCAAAATAAGTAGGGTTTTTTCATATTGTATTATCTATTGTAGGGATCTCCAACTTCAGTGTGGCCAAAGTCCACATGCTGCAAAAGTGTCCTCCCTAAAAATGCCCCTCACTGCACAGCCACCAGGACCCACAGACCAATTGTTTTAACAGTTCCCAGGCTGTGTGCTGGCTCCTTATAGGCCCAGTGCAGCCTGTGGGCCACCAGTTGAACAGCCATGATCTATCGTATATATGTTTGGAGTGACTTTTATGAATACAGGAAGTTTATCTAGAAAATTACCTTTATTATAACTCTAGCTCATGGGTGGACAAAATACAGCCTGTGGGCTGGATCTGACCTGCGAAGGGATTTTCATCCAGCTTCCAGAAGGTCCCTCAGCCCTGCCCAGTGGGCATCCTGAGCTGTGGCACATGCAGCCCATCCTGCTGCCCCCAGGGCTGCAGCAGGCATGCAGCAGGGCTAGGGCAGTGTGGTGGCTGGACTCATTTCCTGGCAGCCCCGGAAGCGGCAGTTCCTTCCAGCTGCTGCCTTGCACCTACCTCTGTGGGTGCTGGACAGAGTGGGTGGGCAGGGTCTCTATGGAGGCCTGCCTGGGACCCATGTGGACAGAGCATGCATGACTGGATGGAGGGGATGGTGCTGCAGATGCACAGGGAGCATCATCCAGGAGTGGACAGGTGGACGGG